GGCTTTGTGTCCAATTGACTTCAGATGTGACAGGATCTCTGATCTCAGGGAGCCGAGTCACAAGAGTGTGTCCTGGCATGGAACACTCAGGGCATGTTGAACCTGTCAAGTAGAGAGGACCATCCCTACTTCGACCGAGATGATGAATCAGCCTGCTACTGTGAACCGATCAAGGACCTCGCTTACTATTTCAAAAGAAGCCAAAAAGGCCAATGACTTCTTAGAGTGGCAATGATGTTGCAGGCACCACTGCCATTGGCACTGACTTGAATTTCTGCTGCTCCTGAGATTAACCCATTAGATCAGATAGGAAGAAATTTTCAAATACAAGATATGCAACACCTATGCCGCTAATCATTAGGAAATAGCTTCAAAGATGAGATGAAGCTACATCCTTCAGTAGCTGTTAAGAATAAGGATCAGTAATATGCTTTCACTTCTATATTCTCAGTCATATTTTATTTGGGTGGGGGGACCATGATAATGTACTTTCCCAACTTACGTTGAATTTGTTTATTGCTTTAATTCTAAACACCACACTTTAAAGGTGATATTAAGAAACTTTAAAAATTGGGGAGCATTTGATGATGAAAAGGCAACTTGAAACACTGGTATATCATAATGAAAATTTGAATATAATTGACATTAGAAAGAGGGAATAAGGAAAAATTTAACGTGGTCTAAAAAATATTTGCAGAATTCTCACAACAGTAAAGGTTTAAGACGGAAATATCCCCAAATTAGATAGTTTGGAAGAAGATGAGACAGATTACAGCTGTGAAGTCATGACATGGACAACCAACAACCTCGGGAGCAATAATTTCATACAAGAAGCTGGTAGAAAGCGGGGTTAGAAAACAAGTATTAGTTGAATGGTTGAGCTAGATAAAACAAAATACAGTCTGGCACTAAAATGTTGTGGTAGAATTAATCTTACTCATGGATAAGAGATTTAAGTTTTTCTCTTTGAAATTTTTAACAATAAAAGTTGAATCTTATTGATTTTATTAGAAAATCAAAGTTCCATAATCAATAAGTCTGTCAGCTGCCAAATCATAAAACCATAATTTTGGTATTCATATGTATGTTGGTAAATGCCAAGAAAAAATAATAAATGAGGTTGGAAGAGGTTGTTTTGGGTAATATGAGTTCAATTAGGTGGTAGTGATGGTGATATCTGAGAAGATATCAGTAAATCTAAATCTAGAGGTAATCTAGATTATAGTCTCTTGATAATTGTTGAACAAAAAAGAAAAAATTTGAAAATATAAAACTTAGAAAAATAAATATTTTACTTCTAAAAAAAGAATGAGGGTCAGAAATCTCTGAGGGATAAATGAAATGGGAGAGGCAGGTACCTATCTTGGAGTTATGAATTGGAAGCCCTATCTCTCCTGCCATTTGTAATACTGTCTACCCGCCAATCATATCATTTCTCTTAAAGATGTTCTGCTGTTCACCAAGCAGTTGGGAATTATATCATGTGACCACTCCCCTTTTTAGGTTCCTAAGAAGCCAGGCAATGAAAGTGCAGGGGATGTGGGGGCTGGGGGGTGCAGTGCTCTCCTGCAGACACAAGAAGGAACTAGAAACATCTCTCTTTCACCTTTCCCCTCCCTGCCCACTTATCCTTGAATATGGCCAACACATTCCTGTGATTTCCTCACCTTTTAAATGAAATTTACCAAATAAATAAATAAATACCCAATAAAACTAAAGAAAAGGAAAAAACAAAAGAAAAGATACGTTGAAGTGGCACAACAGCAAAGGACTACATATTCAAGACTCCTCATTCTTGTTAATATCTTAGTTTCTTGAAGATGTGCTTTGGGCCAATGTGCTCATTATGGTGCATGTGAATGTACTAAGAAAGCATTTTCTGTTGTTCTGCAGAAACCAAGCTAGTTCTACAGCAGCAAAACTACAAGGGGAAACATAGTTACTACCAATGAGTCACCAGTTTGTGCAACAATGGGCCTGTGGAACTCTACAAATATCTTGGATATACATAGGAATCCAAGGATGTTTTTTTAAAAGCAGATGTACTTTCCATCATTATCCTTTTCAACTTATGTCTGAATGATACATTTCTAACTTAGGAAGAAAAAGAGAAACAATGAAATGTGCTTGGGATCTGAATCAGACACGTGTGAGTTCAAACTCCAGCTCAATGGCGTGTTTACTCAACATCTATAATCCCTGATCATGTCACATTTGGAAAATAACTATCACACCATTTTCTCTGCACATATTGCAACAAGAAAATCAAAAAACTAAGTCAAGAATTTAATAGGATATCATAATTTAGTTCATGTTGACATTGACTCAAACCAATAAGTTCTTACACTGTCATAGTTTTGTCTCTAGGTCTCTTTCCCTCTTTCTCTCTTTCTTTCTCTTTCTCCTTCTCTCTCTCTCTCTCTCTCTCTCTCTCTCTCTCTCTCACACACACACACACACACACACACACAGATAGGCACACATAAACTGTGTATGTAGGACACTTTAGAATGTAACTTTTTTAAACATTATTTTTTCAGTTCAAAGACTATATGCTCCTGGCTCTGTCTTATTGTTCTGACATTGGTATGTTGCTCAGACATTCAGATCTAACCTCTCTCTGCAGAGCTTAGAAGCTGGAAGAGGGTAGGCCCAAGATAGAAACATAAAGTAATTTTGATGAAAATTGAAAGAGTAAGGAAAGCTGAACTGGACATGTTCAGGCATATAAAACAAAGAGAGGTGTTTCACCGTCTTGGAAGAATCAAAGTCCAGAGAAATTATTTCCTTATTTAGTGATTATGATGCTGAAGTGGCATTCTGTAGTCTTAGAATAAGTTGCCCATTAATATCAGGTTAGAGTTGCTCTTCTTGCTGATGAGCTATTTGAAGATTTAAAAAGGAGGCAAGAAGTGTTGCCAGTCTACCTACATAAAACAAAGATGCACCTATAAAGATGTGTGCACATCTTATTTTATATGGTCAACTTATATTTCCAGGGAAAATTAGGCTTAAAGGGTAATGTCTAAATTCAATGCTATTTTCCAGCAATCTTGATGAAAAAAAAATTAAGTGCATTTCTGTTAAAGTAGAATGAAGTATACTTTAAAATATAGGAATCATTTACAGCAATACCAACACTTTTATAAAGAATATTGCGAGATTTGCGAAATATTTGTGTTTAATTAGGTTTCTCAACTCACTTTGGGAAATGAATCTTGCAAATATCTTTTCTGTTCTCTACATTGCCTAACATGGAAGATTAGATATATAGGTATATATATATATTAGATATACATATATATGTAAGATATATGTGTATATATGTTCGATACATAGATAGATTATATCTATAGATAGAAAGATACATACATACATAGAATCACTCTCCAAATACTGAGGTGTTGTACATGTGACTGATATGTGACTAAAGTGCAAATTAATCTCCCCCTTTTTCCAGTGCTGGTACCTCAACTCTACTTTTGAGGAATATTTTCATGCTATCACCATGATCATAAATTTTAAGTGATATTATTCCTTATTGCAAGCATGGGTCCTAGGACTTCATTAAGACCAAATTAGGACAGCATCATCCTAACTATAGTGATTGCTTCAGGATGGACACATCCTAGTGGGGCCAATGAGATCCAATGAGTTTTCTCTGGAAATTGTTCCTATTGAATCTGAGTTTCAAAGATTTGGATTAAAGCATACTGCAGTAAGAGAAAGAACTCTAGAAAAGGTGTCATTGTGGAACTCAGAATCAGCTGGTTCAGCATGAGTTGAGTTCCAGCAACCACGTTGCCTAAAACTAACTCTTGGAAATAAACCATGAACCCAATTCCCTTCTTCAGTCCCTTTTTTCCTTTCCCGCAATGAATATGTACATTGTTTTTTTCCTTACAGTCAAAGTTTCCTACGAGAATGAACAAAATATTTTTAAACTGTATCTTCCCCTTGATTGTTTTCAACGACTATGTTTCCTGATAAAGATGGTAAAATCAGAAAATGTGCAAAACATGTTTATTTAATAGGCAGACCTGTCTCTGAGTGTAATTGGGGTCATGCTTGCTTCTTATTTAATCTCCTCTTTGGCCTTAGGTACATTAACATTTTTTTTAACACTGAGTAAATATCACGTTTTTTTTTTTTTCATATTTGAGTTTGTCTGATATGAGGCTGCTTTTTCTGATATCAGTGTGTGTTCTTTATTTAGCTTTCAGATAAGGATCTCAAACGTGTTTACCTTTAAAGTTGTGGTGGGGGAGCATGAGGGGGTAGAGAATGTAAAGCTATAGTTATGCAGGTACTGTAGTTCAGTGATTGACACTTAACATATACTTCAATTTTAAGTATGCTATTGGATGAAAGACTGGCACATACGATCCCCTTGGATTACTACTACTCTTTTTCTTGATTTCAGTGACTTGAACAAAAAAATAATAATAATATTGGTGTATCACTGTGTTAACTCCCCTCACCCCCATGGCAAAAGGCATCTCTGTGGAGTTAGCCAAGGACTCTATTAAATTTCAGACACTGGGTTAAAGTAAATACTAAATCTCACTGTTTTTTTAAAAGAATGTCTTCGATATAATTATTATTTTAGATGCAGTTTCATTTTCAATGCTTTTCAGTTTCATTACACGGATTGAAATCCTCTATTTGCAAATAAAATCATGAAGAGAAGCCATTATTGATTTACAGAATTCATGACTAAAACCAGTAAAGTCTTAACGTTTTAAAAAAATAATAAAAATAAAGCCTGCACAAGATCAGAGCTCCATCCCTGACACCCCTGGGATGCTTTATGCCTGTTGTCTCTGTACACTGAGGAATGTGTTTCTCTTCACAGCTCCCCAGCCCTCTAGTGGTGGTTATAAAAACGCCACTTTGTAGTCCCTGCACAGGAAATGCCTGTTCTTACTTCAGTTACCAGAATCCTTTTACAGGAAGTTAGGTGTGGTCTTTGAAGGAGAATTAAAAAAAAAAAAAAATTAAAGCATGATGGAATTTTAGCTGCAGTCTTCTTGGTGCCAGCTTATCAACCCCAAACTCTGAGTGTAAAAGATTCTGCAGGGGTAATGTTTTAATATTCTTATTATGCTTTTTCTCTGTGATTCTGTACCTTTACAGTAGAATCCTTGGGGAATTCTGCAGGGGGACCACTTTCATTTTGAAGCTGCCAGCTGCATGTTTTAGCATGTCTCCTCTTTCTATCAGAGCATCCAGGCATGGCAGTTTCCTGCCCCGAGACTTTCAAGGACTGTCTTCACGCCTGTGCCTATCGCTGGGCATGAGGGTCCCTGAGGAGGAGTGATGAGCGAGAGAGATGTCTTTAGAAATGCTGTGATGCTGGGAGGGCAGCATCCTAGCTGAAGGGTCCTGGTCTACTTCAAAGAATTGTTTAAATGGAAACTGTACTGTAGCTTATGTTATTTTAGGCTTCTCTCTTTTTCTAGTATATATCGCATATATGACTGGTTATTAATACACTTTGCTCTTTGAAAATGCATTTCATATTTTTAAGTGACAACTCTCATTCTGTGTGGTAGGGGTTAAAATATATTGATGATTTTAAATGAAGAAAAATGTTGATTAAGGGTTCTTGTACAGACGGCATTTGATAGTCAAGCTCTGATTTGTGCTGTTTCAAGTGATAGAGAGAAACTCCATTCCACGTATAGAAATACCATTTGGAATGACTGATGTTATCCACTTTTATCTGGTAAATATGATTCTAATACTAGTGAAACACCATTTATGTTATCACAATGACCCATATAACAAGAGTGTGTTTCAAAGATAAGCTGTCTTGGACTTGAGATATTTTTTAATCCAAATTCTAAAATGATCATACAGACGGCTTTGCAGGTTTTGTAACATGGGCAGTATCTGAGAAAATGAGCTACTTTTATAGCATTTTCTAAGTTATTGAAAATCTGTTAATTTAAGAAGCAGTTCCACCAGCTAGCAGCAGGTTGCTAAACCAGGGGGTCCAAGCTACAGACCTCTGACGTGGGTGACTTCCTGCCCAGTTTGGCAGGAGCCGAGTTCCGAGCAGTTCCAAACACAAGCAGGCAGCTCCTGCGCTTTCCCATTCTCTTGCGTTCCAGCAGCATCTTCCTAGGGTTCCAGAGCCTGGCATTTCAGGATTTCCAGACCTCCCTACTAGAGGATTTGACTTTGAATAAACTCTTAAATGTGATGGAGTATGCCAAAGAGAAAGTGTGGGGGAATGCAAATACTTGTAAATGCCCGCAAAGCGGCAGTCCTACAATTTCGTGTCATCGTTCATGTCTTGTTTTGGATGTCTGGTAATTTTTTAGAAGGAATGCTGAAAAGATGGCTGCCAAAATATTCACACAAGTCAAACAGCAAACAAAAATCAGTACTGAAACTGCGAGCACAAACAAGTTACCTCTGTTCCGGAACGCTCTGAATTAAATGCTTGCTTTCAAAAGCCCAGTTACTTAGAGTACTTGGGGAGTGGAAATTTAGATTACCTCATAGACACCTACTGACTGTTTCAGGTGGATCTCCAGGCAAGCAACAGAGTGCTTGCATGCATGAGATTCCCCGAATGCTATGTACAGCTGTCTGTGTGAATTATTACAACTCTGTTAGTTTGTATTTGCTATCTCATTGTTCAGTGTTATAGAGCTACTATTTGAATCCTAATGTTCATTGCCTTTTTTCCCCCTGTTTCTGTAGCACTTTCTTATGCAAGGAGCTAAACAGTGATTAAAGAAGCAGGATGAAAAGATGGCACAATCAGTGCTGGTACCGCCAGGACCTGACAGCTTCCGCTTCTTTACCAGGGAATCCCTCGCTGCTATTGAACAACGCATTGCAGAAGAGAAAGCCAAGAGACCCAAGCAGGAGCGCAAGGATGAGGATGATGAAAATGGCCCAAAGCCAAATAGTGACTTGGAAGCAGGAAAGTCTCTTCCATTTATTTATGGAGACATTCCTCCAGAGATGGTGTCAGAGCCTCTGGAGGACCTGGACCCCTACTATCTTAATAAGAAAGTGAGTTTTAGTCAAGTCGCCTTTCTTCTTTTGTACACTAAAAAGTTCTGGATGAGTCTCAGGAATGATGGGAAAGAATGTTGTGCCTCCTCCCCTCTGCCTCCAATATGACTAATATGCTAGATGGGTCTGACCCTATGTCAAACCTTTTGTTCTAAAAGACTAATTGTTCTGTAAGTCTTTTGGAAACACTTATTGGAATATATGTTCTATGGACAGGCAGAGAACTGAAGGACCATTCTTTAGCAGAGAAACTGAGGAAGGACAAAAGCTTATTTACCTTTTTAAATATTAATTATTTTCCTAAATAAAATGCTAATTGACTATTTTCTTAGAATTTGGGGCAGCAAGATTTGGATATATCTTTATATTTCCAAGAGGTTCTGAATTCCTCTGACAATGTATAGGTATCAATCATTTTTTAAAAATCTGATTTTTTATACTTGCCACATAGACTTTCTTCCTTGATTGGATCTCCACAGAAATAATTGCAACAGGTAACTTTTTGGGGCCAAAAGAGAGTTTGAACAAAAAACACCTGAATAGCTGAAGTTCTCTGGAGAAAAGTATTTAATCAAAGAAATAATCAAAGCTTCATTTTTGTTCTTTATGTGAATCACAGATGCAATTTTAAATTACTGAGGTTAAAAATAGATAAAGATGCCAAGAAATCTTTTGGCAACTTTTTTGGAGATCCTCATGGTACTTATCAAATTTAGGAAAGTTTATAATACTCAGAAAAAAAGTGAAACTATCATGTTGTCATATGTTGATAATTAGTACATTACTATATTATTTCATAGGGCAGTATTTTTACATAGTGATCTCAGCCTTTCTCTTAACGTGTCTTTAATGGGCGCCCTAAATTCTGCCTTATGTGTGTGCTTTCTTTTTCAGACATTTATAGTATTGAATAAAGGGAAAGCAATCTCTCGGTTCAGTGCCACCTCTGCCCTGTACATTCTAACTCCCTTCAACCCTATTAGAAAATTAGCTATAAAGATTTTGGTACATTCATATCCTTTTGCTGATGTCACTCGTAAGATTTTCTTCTTTGTTTAACATTTTGAGCTTTTGAGTTTTCAAAATACATGTAGTTGGCAATGCTACATGCTTGTCTCTTTCCTTCTTGTTTACAGTTAGCGTATTATAAAATGATATCACGGGTAAGCAAGTCACTTTCCCTCATCTTCCAAGTTGTTTTCGTCCCATTGACTCTCTACTTCTACTTTCTTCTTTTCTCTAGTCTTTTATGAACTCCTCGTTGCATCCATCACTTCTTCTAATTTTATGGCGCTCTATAATACAATAAATGGCATGTGCTATCTCTTTCTACATTTGCAAAGTTCATATCTAATTTAAATTTTCCAATTTCGTGTCATCTTGGTCTTATTTGTTTTAATTTCTTGTCTTTAGTTTTAGAATTTGAAAGCATTGGGTTAGTCAATGTTTCCAATTGTGTCTGTTCAGACATCAGAATTTCAAATCTTCTCCAAATTATTTTCCACACAGTATTCCTATTGATTTCCTACTTTAATTTCTCATTTGTTGTTTATTTTCTTTTATACCAGTCCTATATATTGCTTGCTATAAATTATTTGTCTCCAAAGGCTTACCATTTACCTCTTGATGTACATTTTTATTTTAGCCTTTACTGCCATTTTTTTTAAGATATCTACTTTCTAGAAATGAGATCGGTGATACCTTGTTGAAAGCAATTTGATTTGTCTTGAGAGTTGAAAAGAATATTTGGGAAATGAAAGATTTTATTTTGGGCCAGGGACAGTATCTTGCCTAACAGGCAGCTCTGGAGAAAGCCAAAGACAGCCAGTACTGGACAGGGGCAATAACAGGAAGGAATCAGAAGTTTTGGATTAAAGAGTTGAGCATCAGGAACCAGAAGTCAGGGTAAACCCACATTCAGCAAAGCCTCAGGCAGAGCAACTTTTTAAAAAATATTTTCAAAAGATTTGTTTCATTTAATTTGAAAGATTTACAAATAAAAACAAGAGAAGGAGAAATAGGGATCCTCATCCTCTGGTTGTGATGGTTACAGCTGTGTCCATCCAAACTCAGGAGCCAGGATTTTTCTCTGGTTCTCCCGTGTGGGTTCAGGAGCCCAAGGACTTGGTCTATCCTCCACTATCTTCCCAGACCATAATCTGGATCAGAAGGGGATCAGCTGGGACATTGAACCAGCACCCATAGGAAATGCCAGTGCTGCAGGCCGGGGATTACCATGCTGCAATGCCACACTGGCCCCAGGACAACTTTTAAAGTTTCTTTAGAAAGCCACCTCTGAGGTTCCATGATATGATCAACCCATGATTAATCCTGGCAGTAGAGAAGTATACTGCCATTAGCCTGACCAGAAAACATTTTGTATTAAATAATGTAGAGAATTCTGGAAATTGAGTAAACCTGGTATGAAGGACATGTTTTAATTCTAAGGGTCAGGACTGTAGAGTTTACCTCCCATCTCGCCATGGAAGGTGGCAAATGATGCATTTAGCAGCATGATATTCTGTAAGTCCTGTTTTTAACTTCTAGTACCTTGTTCCTATGACATTTTATATGAATATCAATATATTCACATTTAATATTTATGTTTTAGACTTTTAATATTTAGTAGTCAATCTTGCATTATCTCTTTTTTAAAAATATCATTTTTATTGGTAAGGCAGCTAAGATTCATAGAGAGAAGAGACAGAAATATGGTCCATCTGATGGTTCACTTCCCAAGTAGCTGTAATGTCCAGAGCTGAGCTGATCTGAAGCCAAGAGCTTCTTCTGGGTCTCTCACAAAGGTGCAGGGTCCCAAGGCTTTGGGCCATTTTCTGCTGCTTTCCCAGGCCACAAACAGGAGCCAAGTAGGAAATGGAGCAACCAGGACATGAACTGGTCCCACATGGGATGCCAGCACTTGCAAGGCAAGGATTTAGCCATTAAGCTATTGATCCAGGCCCTATCTAACCTTAAGCAATAATATTTTTTTATGTCTGTTTTTCAAGTAAGTTAACCCAGTTACAAAGAACTAGCCTTTGATTGACAGAAGTTAAGATTTATATTATTTATGTTTAATCCATATTTATATAGATATAAATGATGATCTACTATTATGTTTCAAGTGTTTATATTCTTTACACTGAAAAAAATCTTTCCATAAGTTGTCATTGTAAGTTTTAAAAACTTTATGTTCCTCATGTAAACATAATTTGTCTCTGAAATTCTGTGTAGTTCAAACTTAGCCCAAAACTTAGTTCATAATAGACACTGAAACAGGGTATGTAAAATAAATAAGTGACTAATAAATCAGAGGTTAGGGATTCAGTTGAAAAAAAGGGGAGGGGTTGGAATCGAAAGTTCAAATTGATCAGAAAACTGTTTTGTCTTGCATCTTAATGATGAGATGGAATTCCGAAAGTCCAATACCAAGAAAAAGGCAGCTTTTCTCTTAAAACGTTTGTATAAGATATTAGATTTCTTAAAAAAAACTCAGAGAAATTATCATTTCTACTCAATAAAATCTTAGGATAATATGAACCTAGCTTTAAGACACCCTGGAAAAGATGTCTCTGGTGATTGAGGGCCAGGGCAGGTTGAGAAGTTCTAGCCAGTCCATCTGGGGGATGCAGAGCACAGTTAAAAACAGGTGCTCTCTGAAAGCAAGGGTAAAGCTTGCATTTGAAATTTCTATGAGGTTCCCAGAAGAAAGAACTCAATATCAAAGCAGCAGAGTTGTTTTGAAGCCTATGGAAATTCAAGTTGAAATGCAAAGTCAATCAAGTAAATGGATTAAGGTGTGTCAAGCTGAACTGCTACCTCAGCTAGAAACTTATAGATTGCTCAAAGCCATTCATATGTTCCACAATAGAATATAAGATTTTTTTTCAAATCCCTCATTGCCTTAACAAAAACAACATACTTCAGATGTCTTAATTTGGAGAAGAGATGGAAGAAAAAGCAGTTGGGTGAACAGATAAGATAGAAAATTCCTTTGTTTAAAATATATATTTATTTGAATGACACAGAGAGATTCCATAATTCCATGTATTGGTCCACTTCCCAACCAAGTATATGCCAAGCCAAATCTAAGAGTCCAGGAGCCAGGTCATCCATCTCATCTTCTATATGGATAGTTGTGTCCCAAATATTTGGGGCATCTTCTGTTGTCTTCTCAGGCACATTGGCATGAAGTAGGTACTGTAATTGATACTTTGGTATAAGGTATCATCCTTATGAGTGGTGGTTTAACTCACTTTGCCACAATACTGCCCACCAAACCCTTCAGTGTCTTGATGATACTGGCACAACTTGTCAGAGATCCTGGTGAACTTAAGTGCACATAATACTATAGCCCATGACTAGCTTTTTACAATGGGTTTATTCCCTCTTCTTCACAGTGCAAACCCTAGGCTCAAATTCTGGTGCTTTGACTTTAAGGGTAGTGCCCTTGCTATAAATTAAAAAATCTTTGAAGGCAATTGTAATGCAATTAGGTACAATTGGGAGTTTTTTGTATAATTATATTGTATTGTTAGCTTATAACCAATTAAAGGCCATTCACAATAAAGAAATTTGTATTTTAAATCTGGACTAATAGCTCTATTTGCAGCAAAAAAGCTGATTTTTTCTAAAAGAGCTGTTATCATTATTAGTCACTGTGACATATCAAATTAGCATTGTTTCTTGATTTTGGCAGAGTGAGAAACTGTATTTATGCTTATTGTATTTTTACCAGGGCATATTTTGAAATCTTTTTTTTAAAGATTTATTTATTTTTATTGGAAAGCCAGATATACAGAGAGGAGGAAAGAGAGAGGGCGGCCGCAACAGCTAGAGCTGAGCCGATCCAAAGCCAGGAGCCAGGAGCCTCTTCTGGGTCTCCAACGCGGGTGCGGGGTCCCAAAGTTTTGGGCCGTCCTCAACTGCTTTCCCAGGCCACAAGCAGGGAGCTGGATGGGAAGCAGGGCTGCTGGGATTAGAACCAGTGCCTATATGGGATCCTGCGCGTGCAAGGCGATGACTTTAACCACTATTTTATTGCACCAGGCCCATATTTTGAAATCTTAAAAAGCATCTGACCTGCCTAGACAAGTGCAGCCCCAGACTAGACCAGGCTGAAGCCAGAAGTCAGGAATTGACCCCTCCCCTGTGCCACCCAAGGAGCTTCTTCCTGGTTTCCTGTGTGGGTGCAGGGGCCAAAGCATTTGAATTGTCCTCTGCTGCTTTCTCACACAATTAGCAGAGTTCCTAATCAGAAGTAGAGCAGTCAAGACATTAACCTGTACCCACATGGAATACTAGCTCTGCAGATAGAAGCTTTACTCACTATGCCACAATGTGACACCCTCAATACTTTTCATTTTGAAATCAGTATTTTTTTAAAAGATTCATTTCATTTTGTTTTTTGAAAGGCAGGATTACAGGAAAGAGAGAGAGAGAGAGAACCTCCATCTGTCCATCTGTTGGTTCACTTCCCAATGGCTGAGAAAACCAGAGCTATGCCTATCTGAAATCAGGATCCAGCAGCTTCTTCTGAGTTCCCAATGTGGGTGCAAGAGCCCAAGGACTTGGGGCTGCCATCCACCACTTCCTAGGTCACAAGCAGGGAGCTGGATTGGAAGTACAGCAGCTAGGACATGAATCTGCACCCAGAGGGGATGCCAGCACCACAGGTGGAAGCTTAGCCTACTACACTATGGTGCTGGTCCCTGAAATCACTCTTATAAATCAATGTAATTGTATATATTTGATTTTTAAAATATATATAGGGTGTATATGAGGGAGTACATATGAAAAAAGTCATTATAGCAGATGTTCAGGAAGTGAGGGAAAGGACCATGGACAGCTGTGAGGAAGGAAAATGAGCTTATGGAACCAGAACCGTGAAAGCAGAGAGGGCAGGGACTGATGTGATGGGCCATGGTGAGGACATCAAATTCATTCTAAACAGGAAGAGGGGAGATGATGGGAGAGTTCCCCATAGAAGAGTATCATGACCTGCCATATGTTT